AGAGATGTTGTCTTTTAAAGCTAGAGAAAGCAGTGAATGGACCACTGACAATTTGGCATTTTGAACTAAATAAAGGCCACCTTGAAAACACTAAACTGATTTCAAAAAACCTCTCGTTTATATATTCAGCCGTCTATCCAACACATCCCTATTAAGTGCCCATTGTGTAAAAGACATGCTGTTGGAGATAGAGCGATTGGATACAGACCTTAAGTACTTCATAATTGACTGTTGATATGAGACATGTTTCTAATCAATCTTATACTGTCACTAGATGAACTAAGCACGGGTATGTGCGTGTAAAATAGCTGCTTAATGATGTTGAGAAAGCCTTGCAAGTTGGTAAAAGATAGTAAATAATGTAGTAAGGCCTTTCCATTTTTACTATTCTGCTATACCTCTTTTGGTGCTGTTAAACTGAACCACTTTGCATTTCTTCTAATATTCCAGTCTGTCTAGGATCAAGAACATTACTAGCTTAAGACTTTGTTTCTTGCCTTATTTTCAGGATAAGAAAACATCCAGATAAGTTCCACATGACATGCCTGATAATTGAGCTAGTTTAGTGGTAGAATTGAAGCAGACAACATTCTCTTGAATACAAACTCAGTATTATGCCATCTTCCTCATGCAACTTTATTTAAGTCCTCCCAACCTCTGAGGCTCAGCATAATCATTACTGCTTCCATGAAACCTTTCCTGATGCTCCCCAAGTACTTGAACTCTCCCCAGAGTAATTTGCTTACAATGAGCGCACCTAATAGAAACGTTCATTTATTTTTGTCAGGACTGTCTTCCCTAATTATTCTATCTGGAGAGTCTCAAATCCAAAAGACAAGAATGTGAAGTTCTTGTCCCTGGGCCATCTGTGCATGTGGACAAGTGTAAAAAATTATGGCCACTACATTTCACTTTTTCATAAAATACCAGTGATTTTTCTATTAATAAACTCTTGGTATTGACATTTTAAGGTCATTAATGCTTTTATTGCAAAAACCCAGTGAATACTTTTGTTTTCGCCTTTTTAATGCTCTCTGTAGCTTTCCTTTCATATATCATTATTTATTCATCGATACTGCACTAGATACTGGGAATATAGTGGTGAGCAAAACAGTTGAGCACAAGAGAGCACCAATCAAGCAACCACAACCAAGTGTGGTAAATGCTACATTAGAGGAATCACAGGGCACCTTATCTGGTCCAGAGGGTTAAAACCTAATCTGGTTAATAGAAGCATAATATTACAGAGAAATCTATAGATTTAAGAGATGAAGGAAGAATAGTTTAGCAGAGGGAACATGAGACAGGAAGTAAGAAGAAACACACACATTTGAGGGATTTAACAAGGTTCATTAAAACTGGGCCACAGTGGGGAAGAAGGGCAGGAAAAGGAAGGAGGGACCGTTTTATAAAGGGTTTTGTAAACTGTGATGAGTTTGAGTTAAAAGCAATGAAAAGCCATGGGAAGGTTGTGAAGGAGGGAAAGAACGAGATAACCTTGGCATAATTTAAGGAAAACATATCACATCTATTATTTTCTATTCTATGTCTTAAACGAGTTTCACTGTTCTCTTATTCTAAATACTTTAAGGAGCTAAATTAAAAGAACATCTATATGTGATTTGGGTGTGTTAACAGTAAACTTTCCATGCAGCACAGGTAAGTATGTAAAATGTTATTTTTCCAAAGTAATTCCTTGACTCCTGATTAGCATCACAAAATAGATAAGGTTTAACAGTTGACTAATAGGTAATTCTATCTTCCTTTTTTATTTGAAACCAGTCAGCTCTAAATTATTCATGTTAACTGAAGAACAGATAGCTGCAGGACCTAAAATGATTGATAATCTAGATCGTTTCTATTTCACTTTGGAATGTGCTTTTTAATTTTCATTTAAACATGGTATCCCTGAAATCTAGGAATTTGCTTAAAGCTACACTGCAGAAAAGGGCAAATCCATAATACATAATCTTGTGACCCATCCCATACTGAGTACTGAAAGCATGTTTTAGGCTGCTCTCAAGTCCTAGTAGAGTGGTTTATAATTTTCTTACACTTTTGTATTCTGACTTTTCTTTAAAACAAGCCTAAGTAGCTTTATTATTTTGATAAGAAAAACTTTTCCACACGGAAAACAAAGAGTAGCAGTACCCTTTCAAATCTTGAGAAATGGCAGGTTAAATAATTTAGCTTAGAGTTTCTCTGAGGAACAAGGCATTTAAAAAAATATTAATTAAAAGAACATATAGTAAACATTAACAAAGCAATGTAGTATTTAGGTTTGCATATGGATGACTTGAATAGTAACTATATTCTAAAATACTTTGTGGAAAATACTAAAATGAACACAATTTCAGCAATCAATGGAGAACAAAAACAGGGATGTTAGATTTTTAAACATTTTTTGATAGAGATCGTTGATTACATTAAAGGTTTATTTTTGAACTGTATATCAAGGAATGAGAAATACTTTTACAATCAAAGCTAATTAAAACAGCAAACATGCTGACAGAATTTTTACTTAAAATATTTAACATTTTAAAATATATGACTATTAGGGCAGAATCTTATTCTGAAAATTAAAGAATCAGGACAACCCCTTTTTACCTTTTTATATAGGTAATAAAAATATCTTGATATTAGCAATCACTTCTAGCTTTGTGCCATTCTCAAATAAAAAAATTAGAAATGTGGTTTAATGGAGTTTTATTTCTTTAAAGGGGAAAAGGGTTGTTTCTTAACATAGAAACCCAGTTATTTTTTAATATTGTTAATTGAGGCTGTATAATTATTGACTTAATTATTTGGAAAAATCATGGGTGGACCTTATACCAGCTGTACCTAATAACTTTGTTTAGGACTCTACAATACGATGTGTTATATGAGGAATCTATAACATGATGATGCTTTTAGATAATACAGTACCTCAGTTTTCAATTCTTAAAAAAAGACCAAACCTCAAAACATTCTGATTTTGTTGTTTGAAAAATTGTTTTCATTTTAATGATCTGAGTTAGTAACAAACAAATATACAAAATTGTCTTTTCACATTTCCATACATTGTATTATGGAACACTTAAAACTCTGGACTACAAATGCAAGTTTCTTTGTATCTCTTTGTATCCTTAACTTCAATTGTTGTCCCGTATAAATAAAGGTGATTTGCGAAAACATGCATTTGTGAACACAGATGCCAAAAGTTGCACATGTAAGTTAATGCACAACCAATAGTATACATTGTTCATTTGTGCAGTTTATGTGTCAAGTGCAACTGACACAAAAACAGTTATCCTGGGATATTTCACTCTATTTAAAAAGTATTTTTGAGAAACATGGAACTATAGCTTAAAACAAAAAATATATTCTACAAATACAATAAAATTCACAAATTGTACATCTGAAGAAACTTTGGGGACCCAAAGCTGATTCAAGAACCCTGCTGCTATGTTGGTTTATGGGTATATCTCCAAAGTCATAGGATGGAAAGTAGCTGCTCTAATGAAAATAAATATGTATAGTAAAAGGAAAGTGATACTTTACAAAGGTAATCTGAACATCTTCTAAGCCATTTTAAATTAAGATTTTCCCATTTTACCAGTTTCTATTTGGTAGTATAATTGAAGATGGATAGTTTCTATTGTTGACTTACTATAATGTATAAATCATTATAAATTGATGATTTCTTTAGAGGATCAAATAAGTGGATAACTGGGTTATCATGCAAAGAACAAGGAGGCCACCTCTCCAACCACTAATATGAACTAGAAATAAACACCTACGTGATTTTTTATATTAAATTATTTCCAGATATCTGTAGGTAGAAAAATCTAATCTTTCTTAAAAATGTTTTCTTGGGGAGAATGGGGTGAAGGATTAAAGAAGTACAAATTAGTAGTTGATAGCTGGGCACGAGGATGGGGAACACGGCACAGGGAATGCAGTTAGCATTAATATGATGGCTAAGTGGAGGGCCAGGGGAGGGAGGGAGCAATTGGGGGAATCGTTTTATGAACAATATAGATGTCTAACCAAGGTACTGTATACTTGAAACTAATTTAAGTAAATTTATTTAAAAAAAAAAAAATGTTTTCTTGGGTTGTGGCAACATGTGCTTTACCACTTTAACTCAATCTACAACCTAAAGTTATTTTTATATTATAAATTTCAAACTCCCTGGCAAGGGATGTGAAAACTAACCAGCTAAATATTTATTCAACTTCAAAGGATGGACTTATGTATGGTTGTCGTAATTGTCCCACTTTCCTCTAAAGCCCGAGTTTGATGTCCTCGCCTATGTGATATGGATCAAATGAGAAGACGGTACAAAATAATTGGGTCTCCTCCAGGCAGTATCACAGACTTGGCCTCTGATATTATGAAAATCATATTAATGAATACAACTCCAAACAGTATGAGGACATCTATAGTTGAAAAGGAAATGGGTGGTTTTCTACAGGAAACATCCCTGTTTTCCATGGGCCTTGTCATGAAGAAAATGTGGCTAGTGATTTCAAACATGTACTTCAAGAGTTACCTGTGAGATGGCTTTTAAAAATATTTAAACCATCAATGATTCAAGCAAGTAAGCTGGGGAAATAATGTAAAAACGTATACTTATAACACTACATTAGAAGATGTAGTTATCTACTTTGCACTTTGGAAATGAAAGAAACCAATTCTGTCCAGAGTCAATATCAGAAAGAGATATGGCTGCTTCCTACTCTTCTACACTTAGCAAAATTAATTTTTTTGATGTTCTCACTGCTGATATTCTTATTTGAGTTAGGCAAATGAATCTAATAGGTTACTCTTGTTTTCAAAATAAGCTGCCTAAACAGTATTTTTTTAAACTTTCAGAAATGGAACATTTAACCTTTGAGAGGAACTTCGATTACTGATTATCTTGTCTAATGGCAGGTCAAAGATTGTTGAATTAAGGATTATTGCTTTTAAAAAGATAACAATCAGAAATAAATATGTAAGCTTAACTCAAATACTCATTTTTCACTCAATGCTACAATTTTTTATTCTCAAATCAAATCAAATGTTACCTTCAATTCTTGCCAGTTTACTGAGGTTTTTAATGATAAGAAGTTGGCCCGTTAACTCGAAATCAAGACAATAGCAATAGCCACATAAGCTTGTCTTATTTGGGCATTGAGCAGTAATACTGCTTTCTTGATAGGACTTAAGGCACTAAATGGTGGTAAAATAAACAAAAGTATGATGATTAACAACTTCTTTAGAATCCTAAAAAAGGAGATTATTTAGAAGGACACTAGTAAATCTTTTTCTCAAACAAATAAGGCATCCTGTTGGCAAACACAAATAAAACACATGTTGAACCTAATACATTCATTCACTGTCTCAGCTAAACTACTTGACACACTAGCTAAGCAAACAAAGGGAGCTACGATAGCAGGTGTACAGGTTGGAAAGGCACCAAGAGAGGGCTCTACAACTTCCAGTTCTAAGAGTCCGGTAAGCTGTGTTTAACACTGCATGCAGTCCAATTGTAAATTTTATTCTTTAAAATGTATATGTGGTTCGATTTTTGTTTCAACAAATCAGTTAATCAAGTGCTAGTTTAGTAAAAAATTTATTTTCATGAATCAGAATTACTGCAGTGTCTCACACAACCCCATTTATAAAGCTAAACTAATTCTAGTACTCAATGCATATTCTGGATAACACTGAAGCAAATCTGTATAAACAAAAATGGTAACCTCGAGATAGAATTCACAATAGAAATTCGATATATAACTAAGATTTACTGAAAATAATGAAAAGTGTAGTACAGATACATCAAACATAATTATAACCACAACATTTTCCTTGTGAAAAATACAACTATTAGTGAAATAAAATGTACAATTGAAAATTTTTCCAAAGGAAAAACAGTATAAAGGAAAATACTTTTCTTTGAGATAGGGAAAATAGTATGTCATTGTTTTTTTATCACAATATAATTTGACACAAAAAGCAGTCATAGAATTGCACCAATTCCACATCCAGTTTCCTGAACATGTTAAGAGTAAAAGGAGTTCGTAAAGCAGAATGCAGTTTCTGAATTTCATATTTTAAATTGATGATATTCTCATACAGAATGTCATAGCACACCAGACATGTTTACATAATGTACAATACTTTGTGTTGTGGCCAGACATGAACACAAACATGATTTCTGCCACCTTTCTTTCATTCTGGTGTTTAGTCAGAGTCAGGAAAAAATAATCAAGCTACTTAAGTGTTATCTCTCTAGCAATAAAGAAAAATTATATTTAGTGCATGCTTCATCATTTGTCAAAAAACATCTGTGAAAATAAAACTCAGTTACCCAATGGTTTATAAAATAGAAAAATCATTCATTAGGATAAAAATGTGGTGGGATTTAGGTCCATTTCCGAAGGACTGACTCCCTTGGCAGCACCACTGTCCTTTAGCAGAGGTCATGAGGCAGCCTCCATAATCACAGCAGGGTTGCCTGCAGGAGACCACTGCTTGACACTTGATTATCTGAGGCCCTACAGCCTCTGTGATCACCCTCCTGCCCTCCACCATTTCATTAGTGCTATAAAGTAGATGGAATTTTTGTGAAAATGTTAGGAACATTTCTGCTGTACATGATTTAGAAGTTCTCCAAATTTTTCAAATAGGTCTTCTACCCATTTCACATTTTTCATACAAAGTTGAACAATTTCTTCTTGTCCTAAATCTTCATTTTTTTTCTGCACAGAAGAAATCTAAAATAAAGAGAAACGCTACATTAGCTTATACTTATTTATCACTTTATAAGCTCGTCAGAAAGGCTTACTATTTCTATATTCTGAATGAAAAGAGGATTTACTAATTCACCAAGTACTGATCTCTTTAAAAATACATCCATGGAAAATGATTATTTGATATAAATTTGGATGAAGTCTAATCCTATCATTTTTGGCTCCATGGGGGCAGGGAAGAAGGCTAAGAAAAGTGGTTCAGTATTCTCACTTCCTTTCAACTGTGTTAAAAGCAGAATGACAAAATTTGAGTTCACTTCTTCATTTCAGAGCATTGTAAAACCAAGTCAATATATTTTGCATGACCATCTTTACTAAATATAGGTTAGCTTTATGAATATTGTTTCATACCAGGCCATTATCAAATATATCAGGTAGATATATCATCTTAACCCTTTTTAATTAAAAAACTAATAATGCTAGTTAAAAAAAGGTAGTACTGTCTCCAACCATTTAAATTGAGGAAATTAATCCTTATATGCCATCTACAAAGTGGTATTATTGTCATACATAATTTCTGAGCAACTTAAATGATACTTAAAAGCTATAATTAAATTTTAACTATTATTTCTTCACACCAAAACCCCATTTTTCTGCAGTTACATGGGATAGGGCCATTTTAGTGATAAGAAAGGCAGCAAGATATCAAAGCAGAGACTAAAATGAATTAAAACAGGGTCAGTATACATTATGAGAGAAAGTATAGTAAGTACCATATTATGTCACTGTAAAGCAAGCATTAACAGCTTAAAAACATTACCACTTACAGCTCTGAAAAGTCGTGAGCCTCAAAGGTTTGAGCACAACACAAAGAGAGGCTCAGATTAATAAATTTTCTAATTATTTACAAGAAAATATAGACATTTTTAAATAATTCTCTTTAAAACATTAAATTTCCTTAAAGTTTGGAAAAACATACATTTTCTTTTTTAAATAAGTGAAAAAAGAATTACCTCATCTTTACATATCAGATAAACATGATATTTATAATGATGGAGTGAATGATACAAAGAATACAACTGTATTTTCTCTGGATCAACAGCAAACTCCTATAAAAAGAAAAGAGTTTATAGACATATGTATTTCATGGAGCATCTGAACTAAGAATAGTTTTACAAAAGTACTAAACCAAGTCTCAATGGAAATCTTAAGTGACTTGAATGACTAGATATTAGCTGGTATTAATAAAGTATTATTAACAAGAGGCTTGTTCAAAATAAGAATTTAAATTGTAATTTTAAAATCTTCATTGTTTTTCTTGAATATAAATATATACTATTTCAAAAGACTTAAACAATATAGAAAAATTTAAATAGTAAACATGACTCATGAAGTAAAAGAACCCTATAATCTCTTGCTTCAGAGATAAATAACAAGGTTAACAGAATGTTACATATTCTTCCCTTATAACACATATCAACACTAATTTTGTAGTGGAAGTGAATCATACCATACAGATTGTTCTGCAATTATATTTTTTATAACTTGTTTTTTACCTAACTAAACCTTGGATATCTATTTATTACATATATCACCCCTTAATATAAATTATATGAAGGTAGAGATTTTTGACCATTTCTCACTATTGTATTCCTAGTACTTAGAACCGTATTTGGCATACTATAGGCATTAAAAAACTTTTTTTTTTTACACCTACAGCACCTGGTCTTCCTAGGTGGTCTTCTATCCAAGTACTAATCAGGCTCGACCTGCTTAGCTTCCGAGATCAGACGGGATTGGGCTTGTTCAGTAAAAAACTTTTTTATTGAAAGAAAGAATGAATCTATCTCTTTTTAAAAAGTGAATAGTATTGTATTAACTGGGTGGCTCTCTATTTATCCAGCCTCACACTGGTGATACATAACTAGATTGTTCTTACAAATAATTCTGCAATTAGGAAAGGCATGTTTTTATGCATTTATGAATGTACTTCTACAGAATATATTTTTCTGTATCAATGAACAATTGATATGTTGCTAAACTGTTTTCCAAAAATGCGGTAATTTAGAACATTGTAAAAAATGAATGAATTCCAGTTTTAAGAATTTTGCAGATATATAATCAATATGGAATCTTACAGAATATGTGTTGTATGTATGTACTTGTTTATCTGAATGCATTTGTATCCAATGACAAAAAAACTGTAAAAATATAACTACAAGCATGGGATGATTCCTTGTTTATTAGCCTATTCAAAAATTTTGTGAGCACTCACAATATGCCAGATACTATGCTAGATAGTGGAGAAAAACAAAGAATTAAGACTGAATCCCTGCTTCTTAGGCCAGTGCTGCTCATTCCTACTTGAAAAAACTTCACATTTACCAACAATATAGTAAAATATTTGCTTTTTTTCAGTGTTTTAAGTTGGAATTATAGTAACTGGAAGAGATATAATTACATCAATCAATATATACTTACTTGTGCAGATTTAGTGGTTGTTTTAGAAGTCCTTAGAGTTTTCTTATTATAAGCTTTGCCGTTCATTTTGATTTTAGAAATAGCAGATCCCCCACTTTTTGCTTTAGAGTCTCGAGTAATTATTGTTAGTTCAGGAAAACTTTCCAAAGCGTTCTTTAAAATAAAGCAAAAATAATAGACTGACATCAGAAGAAAACTAATCTAAACTACTTCCAGTTATTCAAATTTTATTTTTACTTATTTATTCATTTATTTTTTATAGCAGAAAAGAATAGCTTTATTAGAAGGGAAAGTAAAGCAACAGTACACTTCCAGACGTGGAAGCGGGCCTGAGCAAAAGAAGAGTGGCTCAGAGGGCTCAAGGGCCTCAAATTTTATTTAAAAAATATAGAAATGTATGCATACATGTACATATACACACAAATATATGTGGGGAGTGTGGTAAATACATACACTATACACACACACAGGGTGTTAAACATGGCCAAATTCTTTGTATCTCCTCTCATTAAGATGTGGAATCTAACTAGACTTATTGTGGTGATCATTTTGCAATATCTACATATACTGAATCATTATTGTTGTACACCTGAAACTAATATAATGTGTGTCAATTATACCTCAGTGAAAAAAAGTGGAATCTATTTCCCCATCCTTTGAATCTGGGCCAACCTTATGACTTACTTTAAGCAGCAGCACGTGATGCTGTGGGGGACCCCTGAATGACACAGAAGTCTGTGTAGTAATGTCTTCCTGGTTTCAAGGTAGGGGAAAGAGGACCATATACAGGATGCTCTTCAAGTTACAATGGGGTTGTGTCCTGAGAAACCCATGGTAAGTTGAAAATGTCATAATTTGAAAATTCATTTAATATTACACTATAGAGTATCGTTGTCCGCCCTCACGATTGCATAGCTGGCTGGGAACTGTGGCTTGCTACTGCTGTCCAGCCTCACAAGAGAGTGTCATACTACATATCACTAGCTCAGGAAAATATCAAAATTCAAAATCTGAAGTACAGTTTCTACTGAATGAATACATATCATTTTTGCACCACCTTAAAGTCAAGAAATTGTTAAGTTGAACCATTGTAAATTGGAGACCATCTGTATATGTTTCTTTAAAGCTCTACCAATTAAACCACTGTTAACACCCTGAAACTTGGCCTACCCCTGCTATAAAAGAATTCATCTGCTCCTCAAGATGAAGACAGAGGAAGATAAGAAGCACTGTTATGTTCCTCTGGCTTCCCCACTTCTCTTGCTTCTTTTGACTATAGGAAAAGCATTTGTGACTTAAGAGTGTACAACAGCTTGATGAGTTTCCTGACCACAGTAACAGAGTAGTTAGTTACCACTGATATCTGGTGGCCGTGTGGCAGAACCACTTCCAGTCCATTCTTTAAAAGCCTCTGGCATAATCTGCCCTTACCTTCTTGGCAAACCATCCTTACATGAAAAGCTACAAACAATAACTGAATGATATTTGTAGCTAAAATTAACTAGTTTGAATATTTTTTTAAAAAACTGAGTTACTAGTATCATTTACAGTTTTGATACTAAAGGGTTCAAGTGTTCTCATTATTTTTTCCCCATTTATTACGCAGAATGTAGTTTTCATTTGATAAGCTCCACTGTTTTATAAACACTTACAACCTTTAAGGCCACTCTTTTCCAAACCCTGTATGAGTTCCAAAGTATCTGGTATTGTGACCCCCAAAACACTGCATTTTTAAACAGATAACCTAATATTTTTAAACTTAAGAATAGGAGCGAACTAAGTTTCATTCGATAGAAACAATAGAATTTGGGCCATTTCCTACCAAAGTAAATTGCCATTAATTTCTAGCTTCATTTTCTTAGATTATTTATGCTTTTATTACAGACTTTCGCACTTTCCATATAAAACGTGCCCAGGCTTGAAAAATTCTGGACCCAGAATTACTTTTTACAACAAATGAAATTTAAAGACAAAAAACTGATTCTGCATTTGGAAACAATGAGCACTAGGTTGATGAAGATGAAAAGAGAAAATTTAAATGATCTTTCTAATAAGTATAAGAAGCTAAAGATAATTGAAGTACACAGATTTTCAGGGAAAACTAGAACATCATTTAGTTCAAATGGCTTTAGGATTCCTAAAATTACCAAGATCATTATAGGAAGTGGTACTAATTATTTCTAAAGAATAGAATATATTTTATAATCTACTGTTTATAATATTTTACATTAAATCATTCTAACTTTTATATTTTGGATTTGTAATACAAATTGCTATAGATGAAAATTATCAAAATTAGTAACTATAATTTCAAAATTAGAAATTTAATGTTTCCTCTGTGAAAATAAGAAACTACTGCATAAGCTTTAAAGATTAACTGAGTCTATAAAATTCCAAGTTGTGTCTATTTTAATACAAATTATTAGAGAACTGGTTTGACATTTTAAAAATGGTTAGCCAAAACTGTGTTATTAAGATTTAATAAATCTTTAAGAAAACATACATCTAAGACAGTCTCCTGTCTCTAGAAAATACGGTGTTTCTCATAGGAATATTTCATATGAAGATAGCATTTAAGAGGAAAATACTTGACTAGTAGTCAGTTGACCAAACTCTTAGTAATGGGCTTCTTATTAGCTTCTGACTTTTTTTTTTCTTTGCAAGTGCAAGTCAGCAAAAAATGTAGAGTTTGGTGTCATTTAACTTCAAACTCAATCTCAGAGCCTTAATTTTTCACCTAGTCAGTTTTCACTTTTATGCAGAGTTCAGATAAAACAAGGATGTGAAAAAGCTACACAAATTACCCAAAGGAGTTGAAAACGTACATCCACACAAAAATCTGCACATGGATGTATATAGCAGCTTTATTGATAATTGCCTGGGGAGGCTGTACACGTGTGGGGACAGGAGACATGGAAACTCTGTACTTTCTGCCCAATTTTGCTGTGAAGCTAAAACTTCTCTAAAAAAAATTATATTGATAAACTATACTAATGTATAAAAAAATTTCTCCCAAGATATACAGACTCAAGTGATTCTAGATGTTATATGTTACACTCTAATTAAGAAAAAGCTGGAGATTTTTTGGCTACTAAATACCTTCTGTGATAAATACCTTCTGTGATTTTCTGACTTTAGACTAGCTTACTGTTGTTCTATATTTCAGGTAACATCAAAAGCAATTTATAGTGCCAAGATATATTAACGCATATAATTAGATATATATCTCCTGCCATTATGTGAGGATTAATTTTTCCTCAGATATTAGGTAAATGAGGCAAGTAAGGGGAATTTTGATAACTGCTAAGAAGAGGCTGATTCTAATTATAGAGGAAATGGGAAAATTTTGAAAAGGTTTAAAAGTAAAGATTGGACTATATTGGTAGTTTAAAGGAAGTACTTTGAAAACATTTGGCAATTATTATATAGAAGGAATAAAAGATGAATATGAAAGCCTGAAAAATGAATTTAAGCAGAGAAAAATAAATGATTAATACTAAGAATGTGCTTAATAAAATGACAAGCTAAACACTCATAATAAATAAAACTCAAATTTTTATTGAATAGAAAACTTTATAAAATGGATAATGACTCATAAATTTTCCTTCCTATTATATTTAAGACCATGACTGCCAGAGTTTGCTAATAAATCATCTGAAAGAAATACCTTGAATGACTGATCCAAATGAAGATTCAAAAGAAGTCTCTTTCGGTTATCATTCAGCATGCTATCTATTTTTTTCATATGAGGCAAAAGTAGCTCATCTAAAACAAGATAAAAATTTATTGTTAACAGGATAAACTATCAACACAAAAACTGAAAAATCGATCTTTTCCTCATAACATTAATATATTAAGACATTAAATTCATTGGCTTATGTAAAAGTACTGCTTTTAAAATACTGGACATGAAACTTTCTAAACAAAAGCTAACTTGAAAAGTAGGTTTACAATAGCCAAATGAGAAAGAAACAGTATAGCATGATAGGATCAAAAATCCTAGGTTTAACCTTGTCTCTGCCACCAGAATTGATTGATGGCAGCGATGTGAAGAGTGGACAAGCTGCCAGATTTCTCCAGATCTCATCTATCATCTGAACAATGATAGTATTACAACATATAAATTTATCTAACATTATGAAATTTTGTTAAATACAGAGTATGATATTCTTAATTCACTGTAGTTTAGGGCAAAGAAAAAGGGGAAGAAAAATGATCAAAAACACAAGAGAAGAGGCAACATAGTTATTTTAGAAAATGGGAGAGTATAACAAAGATTCCTACCCAAAACTTTTGCTTTCTTTTTTATCCCTCTGAACTTTAAGCTTTTTTAAGAAAAGCACTTTCAGAGTATAATATAAATTTGTTCAAATATTCATACAATTCATGAAAAGATATGACCATTTTATAGATTCAACATATATTATCATGACTTTGTTAACTGACAATGTATAGGTATATATTGCAAATACCATATATTAGACATGTAACCAAAAGACAAGAATAAAAAAGATCAAGAAAGTACTACCAAGAAAGTACTACTTAGTGACTGTACCATTGCTTTTCTCTAAGGCTTGCATTGTGTCAGGGTCCAAAGCAATGCTAACAAGCAATTCCATGTAACTCTTAAAGGTTTCCTTCATTGCTCTTGTGTTCAAAAAACGAGTGACAAAGGGAGCTGGAGGATCAAATTCTGGGAGGGAGAAAAGACGAAAAATTAAATATTCCTGACAACTTTAAAAACATGTTACTCTTTAACAAGAGCCTACAAACAGATAAAAGGTTGTAGATAAAATTTCTCAAATTAAGGTTCTCCTACTCTGCCTTTAAAAGCACCTCAGGTAAGAGATTCTCAAAGATGGTTTGCACATCACATCCACTGGAGAACTTCTAAAACGACATTAAAAACCAGATTGCTGGACTTATTAAAACAGAATCTTGGGTGGGTGGGTGGTACTGGCAATGAAGTTTAAATATTATTTATACTCTGAAGGTGGCTCTGAAGCCCAGCACCAGCCCAGCATTTGGAAACATCAGCCTCACAGGAACCTGATTCTCCTCCCCCAACCCCACTACAGACATCTGCTGGTAGGTTGTGCTGTTCCAGAACGATGGTTTCTCTATATTGAGGCAGTAAAGAAATCGTAAGACGGCCAATGTATGAGTTAGTAGATATCTCTTCTTTTCACTTCTACACTTAAATTACTGTAAAATTCTAGTCTAGAGTCAAGACATAATAAAAAAATTTTTTAATGTAAACAGCCTGTGCATAGAAATAATTTTACTCAAATTTAGTGGCAAGAACTGCAAGATTAGAAGTGGGTTTCAATTTTGACTTTTTTTCATTCAAATATATAACTATTATCATAGCTTTTAACAGCAGTTGTTACCGTATGGTCTAAGAACCCTACGACCCTTTCAGGGGTCTCTGATGTCAAAATAAGAGACCCCTGAAAATAACAACAGTAAGATATTATATACCTTTTTTACTCAGTTGACATATGTAAAAGTAATGTTGGGTAAAACTGCCGATGCCTTATATAGCATGAATCAAGGCAGCGACACCGAACTCTACTAGTAGCCATATATTTTGCCATGACTTTATCATCTCAGTGTTATGATTTTGAGGGGAGGAAAAAAATATAATGTCATGTAAGTCATAAAGCAGTAAAAATAATTAATTGTATTAAGTATTTCTTCTTGAGTAAATGTCTTAATAGTATGATGAAATGAGAGGTACATATAAAGCACTTCTGCTATGAAGTATGATGGTTATCTCTAGGAAGATCATCCATGCAACTGTTTGAGTTATAAACTAGATACTTTTCCCCTTATGGGACACCATTTTTATTTGAAAGAATGACTGACAGGCACACTATGCCTATTCAGACTTGCATATTTGGCAGACATTTTCTTAAAAATTAATGAAGTGAATCTGTCACTTTAAGGAAAACAAGTAACAGTATGTATTACCAGTGATAAAATTTGAAGTTTCAAATGAAAATCAGAATTCTGAAACTTAATATATAAAAAGAAAAAAAAAATTAGAATTCTGGAAAACATGTATCTACCACTATGAGTTTGACAATGTCCCAATACTTAAAGACTTTATCAATGAGAACAGTGGTGGTATTAATAAATATTTTTTTTGACACTGTAAAAATGTATGACCTAAATGTAACAGCCAAAACCATGAAATTTTTACAAGAAAATATATGACACTGAAAGCATGGGCTATAAAAGAAAAAAATAGTTAAATTTGGCTTCATCAGAATTTCAAACCTTTGTTCTTCAAAAGACACTATCAAGAAAGTGAAATGTCAACCTGTAGAGTGGAAGAAAATATTTTCAAATCATATATGAAGGGTTTAACACCTAGAATATATAAGGAACAACAACTCAAGAATGAAAGGAAAAATGACCCAATTAAAAAAATGGGCAAAGGATCTGAATAGACATTTCTCTAAAGAAGATAAGCAAATGTCCAGTTAAGTACATGAAAAGATGCTCAAGATCACTGATCATTAGAGAAATACAAATCAAAGCCACAATAAGACACCATTTCACACCTGCTATATTTAAAAAAAAAGGGGGGGCTGGTGAGGATATAAAGAAACTGGAATCCCCATGCATTGCTCATAGGAATGTAAAATGGAGGGAGCATGGTGGAAAACAGTTTGGTGGTTCCTCAAAAATTATAAACATATAATTATATGACTCAGCAATTCCATTCCTAGGTATATACCCCAAAGAACTGAAAGCAGACACAAACAGATATTTTTATGCCAATGTTCACTGTAGCATTATTTATAATAGCCAAAAGGTGGAACAACCCAAGTGTCCATCAATAGACAAGATAAACAAAATGAACATACAAGGGATAAACTTAAAATGGAATAGTATTCATTCAATAAAAAGGAATAAGGTTCTAATATATGTGAACCTTGAAATCATTATATATGAAATAAGCCAGATACACTTATATAAGATATTTAGAATAGGCAAGTTCATGAAGACAGTAGCTGGGGGAAGGGGAGAATGGGGAGTTATTGCTTAATAGTTACAACTTTTCTGTTTGGGGTGATGAAAAAGTTCTGGAAATAGTTGTGATTCTTGTACAATATGAACATAATGCTACAAATAGTTCACTTAAAAATAGTTAAAATGGCAAAATTTGTTATATATTTTAAAATTTTTAAAATATAGAAAAAGAAACAATATGTATACCAATGAACAAATATTTTCACATAACCAATGAATGTTATAAAATCATTCATAGAAGTTATATTCAAAGAACAAGATAAACCCATAGATTTTAATGTAACAAGCATGAAAAGTTGAAGAAACTATTATTTGTCAAGTTTATCAAGTAAAATCTTTGAGTATCAAATAAAAATATCCATAATTATCTGAAAAGGTAATTTAAATACTCCTCCCTTTCTCAACTACATATATAAGCAAGGCTGGGTTTTCTTCATATATTTTAACCAAAATAATGTATAATAAATTGAATGTAGAAGCATACATGAAAATGCTACTCTTCTAAATACTGTTTATGAAAATAGTTGTTAAAAAAACTTATGTTAATATCTAATTAAGTATTTTTTAAATTTGTTTTAATTGATATTTGGTAATATCAATAGATATAGCTCACAGAAACAAGTGTCTTGGAATCTTTGATAAATTTGAAGATTATAAAGAAGTTCTGAAACAAACAGTTTGGAAACCACCAGCCTATAAATCTATATTTATTATCAATATTTGCCTTCTTTTCAAGAAGCACTAAAAATGTTTGCCTAATTATTAGTGACACCTAGTGGTAACTCAAGTTACCAATGAAAAAACTTTTTTCTTGTCCTTTGAGGAAGCTGTATAATTGAGAGCAAACTCAGAACCCAAACTTCTCTATTCTAAATGGTAGGTAGGAATGCTAACTGCAAAAATTATGTATAATGTCTTCTATATATACTCAAAGCACTGAATTTCTTTATAAATTCTAATGAGCACACGTCTAAACAACCATTCCTAAGTAGCTTTCAAAAACAATACATTTGAAGTTGGCTTCCAAACTGAAGAATTTTTTTATGATTCTATTCCAATAATCTCTTAAGATGATATTTGTAACATCAGAAACCATTCTGGGCATCAACCTCAACAGTACCCCCAACACCCAATGCATCATTCAAGTTCTGCCAAGATTACATCCTGAATTTCTCAAATGTGTCCTCTCTCCTCCATCCCTGCTGCTACAACTTAGGTTCAGACTTGTAATTTATATCTGAACTATGATGTCTTATCATTCAAATTCACATTTCACCATGTTGTTCCGTACTTAAATCCTTCCAAGGACTCTCCTTTGCTTACAGGATCCCAAGCTTTTTAGCTTTATGTAGCATGACATACACAGCCTTCCATCAACCTTTCATCTTTTCCTGCCTACCTTCAACTTTATGTTCTAGAATGGTCAGCAAACATTTTCTGTAAAAGGCCAGACGGTAAATATTTGAGGCTTTAATAGTCATGTGCTATCTGTAACAACTACTCAAATCTGCCATTGTAGTCGGGATGCAACTATAAAAAATACGTAAATGAATCAGTGTTCTAATAAAACTTTATAAGAATAGGCTACAGATCAGATTTGGTCCACTGACCGTAGTTTGCCACCTCTACACTAGACTACTAAAATGCTTGAAATTTCTTGCATATATTATACAGTAAGTCTGATGGCTAATGGAATGTGTGCTGGTATATATTTATGTTTTACAACTATCTCAAGTTTTATTTCTAATAAAATAAATTTATCTATAACTACATAAATGTTCTTTGGTGTCTTCAACAGTTTTTAAGAGTATACAAGGGTTCTAAAATAAAAAAAAAAATTGATAGCTGCTGATATATTTTAGCCTTTTCATTTTATAAAGAGAACTAAGGCTTTTTATAAAAGAGAGGTTTCCTAGCTTAGACATGAGCAACTGGTTGGCTAGTGGCTGTATGCATTATAGTATATAACATATTATATAATACACAGTATAGTAGTATGTATTCTATAATTGATAAATATTCCACATATATGGAAGTATACATTATTACATATGTTACTATATGTAGTTTCAGAGCTACAGCTTCCTAGGCATGTTTTACTCTTTCCTTCTAGCATACACACAAACTCAGAAATTTAGAACTAGAGGACTCTTAGTAAATCATCTGATCTAATCCTTATCCTACCTAAAGAAGTGAGATAACTGGAATTTCTAAGGGTAGAACTCATAAAGGTCTTTGAGTTCACTGCTTTTTCTATTTTACAAGGCTGTATATGTGGGCAAACTGTGCTCAGGGAAAGTGAATTTATTTTTATAAAAGACTAAGCAGAATTTAGGTAGATAAATCCCCCTCAAAATAAATAAGTCTTGAATCATCAGCATCACTGTTCCTCTCCATTCATGGAGATAATCTAAAGTAATCAAGGTATTCATTTCATGGAGAACTCACCCTCATCACTACTAGTAGAATGGATCTCAGGAGATGAGTCAGATTGGGATGATGAAAATTCTTCTTTCCATTTCTTCCGTTTCTTTGGTGGTGGCTCAGCCTTTACTTTTAGCTGTTTACCTTTGGGTTTCATGGAAGGGGCTTTTGTAGTTGTAGTTTTTGGTGTTGGAAGATCAGAAGTTTTACTGCTACTACTTGGCTTAGCCTGAACAGTTCTGCAGTGTTATAAACAGACTTCATTAACACAATGAACTCCTGTCAAATGAAAATAAATTAGCCAAAAAAAAAAAGAAAAGGAAGGAAGGAAGGAAGGAAAGAAAGAGAAAGCAAGCGAGAGAGAGAAAGAGAAAGCAAGCGAGAGAGAGAGAGAGAGAGATTTTGGAAGAGTTTAACTACCTCAACCGCACCTCCAAAATAAAGTCCAAGTCCTATACCTCTCAAATGATGATTCCCCTCAAATTCTCTTGAAATACACTCTTTAATCACTGACATTCAATATTCAGTTATTAGGGGACTATTAATTCAATCCTTATTTCTCTCTTTACTCCTCCCCTTCCTTTATGAACTAATTTTCCCAAGTATGAGGCTGTACAACAGATGACCAGAGGGCTTTGGGAGGTAATGCATGATAAACCCTTGAGAGCTACATCTAGCTCTCACAGGTTCTGGTGGTACAGGTTTTGATATAGATAGAGACCCAACTGCATCTGTCCTAGAGCCTCTCAAGAAGATTTGCTATGTGCTAATTCTGGAGATTTGAATGGATGAAATTCCACTATAAAAATAAGGTGGGCTGCTTCTAATAAGTTGGAATTAATTAAACTAGACCTTCTTAACATTAGATTGAGAAAAACTAGAGTCACATCCCTTTCCCATACAGATCACAGGGAATGTGGCTACATCAGTCATCTCCCAGATTCATGCCCCAGACAATCCAGAGTTACATTAATAGATGATAACCCTACAGTATACTTGTCTAGTAATATACAAGTCTTATAGCTTTTTTCTCAAAATTTATTTCATTTTAAATTTGACACACCATTAATATTTTTATTTTATGGATTAAAAAAGGACTTCACAAAAAGCTGGACTCAATCCTTTTGACTCTAACTCCGTTTATTTTTTTTTTTTCTCTCACTACACTAGGGTAACATCAAAAGGACTCACAGAAAGAAGAGGGCACCCATTCCATCACAAATAGTCACGATTTATAATTCCTGTCTCACTACTTTAAAAGGAATCTATTATTACACCAGGCATTGAATTTTTAGACTTATAAATAATGAAAGAAATCAGTCTCTTTAATTGATATAATTCTTTGTACAAGACATCACCATAATAAGCCTTCCAATAATCACTATGCAAATATATAAAAAAATAAATACCTGATAGTTTGTGAAGGCTTACTTCTTGGTTTTTTAGAACACACTCTGACATATTCCTTTTTGTTTGTGTTTTCGATGAACTTCACGTATATCCTTTTGTATTTACTCTTTGCATCTCCAAAATATCCAAGGTACTAAGGAAAAAAACACGTTGAATTACTTAATTACACATTCTGTACACACAATATTAGTACTTTCTTAGCTTCACTGGCTATCATACAGCCATCCTTCAAGTTTTTAAATACGCAGCTTTGACTAGGCTAATTTCACCCCCAATAAAAATAATCCTAGGCTCAATCTTAACTGCAAGCCCATACGTATAAACAATCTAGGTTGGCTAATCATCAGATGCTTGCTTACTTAATGCTATTAAACAACTACATAGGTACAAAAGAATAACTTCTGTAAGTCTTCTGGTAAATCAGGGTATTTCACTGACAGAATAATCAACATAAGAGCCTCTGAGTCCATTTGAACTCTTCACAAACTAGCACTTATTCCTTTTCTTGTTATTAAAAAAAAAAAAAAGGTTAAGCAATAGTATAAAGTGTTTTAATTTTAGGTAGCTGGTATTTATATATTTTTATTTTAAAATCAGATGATTAGAGTGTCATATACAGGCACACCTAGTTTTACTGCACCTCACTTTACTGAACTTCACAGATGTTGTGCTTTTTACAAATTGAAGGCAAGACCCTCCACCGGCAAAAAGATTATGACTCACTTCATTGTAGTCTGGAACTGAACCTGCAGTATCTCCGAGGTATGCCTGTACTGTCATTCATATTTTATGCTATTTTATATTAGAAGTGCTCAATATAAAATATATTTAATTTAAATCATTCTATATTTTCCCCAGGACCACTGTCAAAAAACAGGAAGGCTAATATAAACAAGCATTTTACTTACACTATTTGTAGCAGCAAATTCTCTTTGCCCATCTCTAATTTCAGGAATAAACTTCTGTAGTAAAGCTTTTTGTACTTTCCAAATAGCTGGGGGTTCTTTTCCTGTTTTTAAAGCCTCCTATAATAAACAGAATTAATTACACTTATAAAAGCTGGCAATATATTCTAGATTTAAAGAATCTTAGAATCTTAAAAACATATCTAGCTCAATCTTTTACCTAGCTGAACTTTTACAATAGTTCTTATAAGTTGGCCATTCAGTTTCTGCTTAAATTCTTCCAGAAATAGGGAGAGCACACACACCAACATGCAAAGTAGTCTGTTACCCTTTTGTATAGCTATTGGAAAATGTTCCTCCGATAATACTGTCATATATTATTTATGAAATTTTATAACAGTATGTACATATTCAAAAAGACCAGAAACAAATTTGCTAAAATAGTAATAGCAGTTGATTGTGAATGGAAGTATTAAAATTTGAATGTTATACTTATTGTACTTTTTAATGCCATTCCTTTCCAGTTAAAAAATCAAAAGCAAACAAAACCCGTGAATAGGCTTTTCTTAAACGTAGTTTTCTTGTATGAAATTATTAATATTTTTATTCATGGTTCAACAATTTGGAATTATGAAAATAAGTCTAATTCTAGTTTTATATTATATTTGTTATTTTCTTTAAACTTTTAAATTAGATAAATAGGCCATTTTCTTCAAACTCCCAATAATATAATGAGTTGGGAGTCTTCAAAAGAAATTAACATTTTGAAACTGCTCTACTCATTAGTACCTAAATGGAACATACTGACTAGTCAGAAATACATAATACTTGGATATAAAATTATTTTAAGCTATTTTTCTTTTATGAACTATCTGATATCTATTAATGATTTCATTATTTAACAATTATAACAGAATAATTGTGAAAATAGAACTTTTTGTAATTCAGGCTACATGCATGCTACTAAAGCCATCACGAAGGCTATCATAATGCACCCCCACTAAACTATGACCTTTAACACCTGTGAACATTCACATCACCTTAAAAGTCTCTATGTCTTCTATCTTTACCACAAATTCATCACGCTCTCTGTATTGGCCTTCTCCTCCACTTTCTGTGTTCTCCTCATCTGTAAAACCTTCTATGGCAACAGTATCCTGTCCTTTTGCAAATTGGTCTGAAGAAAGACCATCAAGTTCGATGGGCTTTGGGGGTTCTGTAGAGCTTATATTTTCCATTACTGCAGATGAAGAAGAGTAGAGAGGTTCTTGCTTAACTGCACCCACAGTGGTGGAGGAAGTAGTAGCAGTACCAGTAGTATTGGCAGTAGGGCTAGTAGTTGCCACCTGTAGGGCTTCTGAAACTAGATCAAGCAAATGCAAATCAATAATACAAATAATTAAACATTTACTTGTTTTGAGTAAAATCTGAACAGTTTAAAAAGAAAGTTATTTTTTACCATCAAATCATCTGAAACATTGAAAACTACACTAAGAAATTAAAGAATGGTTGTTAATTTCCAAAAAAAAAAAAAAAATCAAAGTAGTGTACAGACTTGAGAACCTTCATCAACCTACAATGCCCCTCAGACCACTTAAGTAACATAAAGTAGTGTACAGACTTGAGAACCTTCAGCAACCTACAATGCCCCTCAGACAACTTAAGTAACATAAAGACACAAAAGTGATGTAAGATAAGGGTCAGCTGACCAAAACTGTAAAGAATTCCTAAAGAAAAGGCAATTGGATGTGGGAAAGGAAAACAACACCCCAAAATATTCTGAAATATTTATATACTAACAAATAACTCAGATGAAGTGGACAAATTTTCTAGAGAGACACAAACTACCAAAAAGACTCAAGAAGTGGTAGAACATCTCAAATGACCAATAACAAGTAAAGAGAATAAAGGAAATTTAGAAACATTCCACAAAGATAAGCACAGGGTTCTACCAATAGTATAAGAATTAATACCAATCCATCATAACTCTAATAAATAAGGAGGAAACACTTCCCAACTCATTTTATGTGGTCAGTATTATTCCAGTATCTAAACCAGACAAAAATATCATGAAAAAAACTATAGACTAATATCTTTTATGAATATAAACATGAAAATCTTCAACAAAATATGAAAAAATCTACCAACATATAAAAAGAATTATACGTCATGACTCAAGTGGGTTTTATTCTAGGAATGCATACATAGTTTAACATCTGAAAATCATCAGATGATTGATTTTATTATAAGATAAAAATATAGGATTATCTCAATGGGCACAGAAAAAGCAATTGGCAGAATTCAGTATCATGAATTTAAACACTTTCATGATAAAAACACTCAACCACCTAAAAATAGAAGGAACTTCTTCAACTTGATAAAGGGCACCTATCTATAAAAAACCCAGTCAACATCATACTTAATGGTTAAAACCTAGATGCTTCCCCCTAAGGATGTCTGAAGAAACAAAACTACAGGCATATCTTGTTTTATTGTTATTCGCTTTATTGAGCTTCCCAGATATTGTTTTTATAAACTGAGTCAAGCAAGTCTGTCGGCACTATTTTCCCAACTGCATTTGCTCTCTTCATGTTTCTGTAACACATTTTAGTAATTCCCCAATATTTCAACTTTTTAATTATTGTCATATTTTTATGGGGATCAGTTATCTTTGATGTTACTATGGTAATTGTTTTGGGGAACCATGAACTGTGCTCATATGAAACAGCAAACAATAAATATTGTATATGTTCTGACCGCTCCACTGACTAGCCATTCCCCCATCTCTCTCTTTCTCGCTCATTGGGCCTTCCTATTCCCTGAGAAACAACAATACTGAAATAGTAACCCTACAATGGCTTCTAATAAGAGTATAGCCCTAACTCTCTTCAATTCTATAAAGATTGAGAGAAGTGAGGAAGTTGCAGAAGGAAAGTCTGCAGCAAGCAAAGATTTGTTCATGTTTAAAGAAAGAAGCTGTCTCCATCACATAAAAGTACACAGTGAAGCACCAGGTGCTGATGTAGAAGCTGCAGCAAATTATCCAGAAGATCAAGCTAAGATCATTAATGAAGGTGGCCATACTAAACAACAGATTTTCAAGAGGTGAAACAGGAAGAAGATGCCATCTAGGACTTTCACAACTAGAGAAGACAATGTCTGGCTTCAAATCTTCAAAGGACAGGCTCACTCTCTTGTTAGGAGCTAATGCAGCTGGTGACTTTAAGTTGAAGTCAGTACTCATTTACCATTCTGAAAATCCTAGGGCCCTTAAGAATTATACTAAATCTACTCTGATTGGAACAATAAAGGCTAGATGACAGCACATCTGTTTATGACATGGTTTACTGAATATTTTAAGCCCACTGTTGAGATCTAGAGCTCAGAAAAAAAGATTCCTTTCAAAATATTATTGCCCATGGACAATGCATTTGGTCACTCAGGAGCTCTGATGGAGAAGTACAAGATTAATGTTGTTTTCATGCCTGCTACCCTAACATCCATTCTGCAGCCATGGATCAAGGAGTAATTTTGACTTTGTCTTAATATTTAAGAAATACACTTCATAAGGCTTTAGCTGCCATAGATAGTGATTCCTCTAATGGCTCTGGGCAAAGTAAATTGGATACCTTCTGGGAAAAAATTCACCATTCTAGATGCCATTAAGAACATTCATGATTTGTGGAAAGAGGTCAAAATATCAACATTAACAGGAGTTTGGAAGAAGCTAATCCAACCCTCATTCATGGATGACTTTGAAGGATGAGTCTTCAGTGGAGGAAGTAACTGCAGATGTGGTAGAAATAGCAAGAGGGCTAGAATTAGAAGTAGAGCCTGAAGATGTGACTGAACTGCTGCAATCTCATGATAAAACTTTAACAATGAGGCGCTGCTTCTTACAGGTGAGCAAAGAAAGTGGTTTCTCGAGATGGAATATATACTCATGGTGAAGATATTGTGAAGATTACTGAAATAACAAGAAAAGGATTTAGAATATTACATAAACATAGCTGATAAGGCATCAGCAGGGTTTGAGAGGATTGACTCCAATTTTGAAAGAAATTCTACTGTGTATAAAATGCTATCAGCATTGCATACTACAAAAAATTGTCAAAGGAAGAGTCAATCGATGTGACTAAGCAATAAGTACCTTTTAATTAAGGTATGTCCATTTTTTAAGACATAATGCTACTATACATTTTAAATAGACACATGCAGTGAAAAACCAAAAATTCATGTAACTCGCTTTATTGTGAAATTCCATTACGGTGGTGGTCTCTGAAACTGCAGTATCTCTGAAGGATGACTGTATCTCCTTTTGAAGATGATATTGTATATAGAAAATCCACCAAAAAACCATTAGAACTAATAAATAAGTTCAGCAAGTTTCCAGGGTATAAGATCAACATATAAAAATCAATCATATTTCTATATATTTGCAATGAACCATCCAAAAATGAATTTAGGAGCACAAGTCCATTTATAATAGCATCGAAAAGAAAAAAAATACTTAGGAATAAACATAAGAAGTGCAAAGTTTACACTCTGAACAAACTATAAACATTATTGAAAGAATAAAGGTCTAAATAAGTGGAAAAATATCCTATGTTTATGGATCACAATACTCAACATTGTAAAGCTGGCAATACTCCCTAAATTGATCTACAGAATCAGCATAATCCCTATAAAAATCCTAGCTGCATTTTTTTTTTTGCAGAAATTGACAAACCGATCCTAAAATTCACATGGAAATGCAAGATACTCAGAATAGTCAAAATAATTAAAGAACAAAGTTGGAAGATTCACATTTCTGAAATTTCAAAACTTACTACAAAGCTACAATTATTAAGACAGTGTGGCAGCGGCATAAGGACAGATATATAGATCAACAGAGTAGAATAGAATGAAAGTCAAGAAATAAAACTCTTATATTTATGGTCAAATAATTTCAACAAAAGTGTCAAAAACCATTGAATGGGGAAAGAATGAAGTGTTTTTAACAACTGGTGCTGGGACAACTGGATATCTACATACCAAAGAATAAAGTTGGATCTCTACTTTGTAATACAAAAAGTAACTGAAAATGGATCATAGACCTAAATGTGAAATTTAAAATTATAGAACTCTCAGAGGAAACATAGGTGTAAATCTTCATGACCTTACATGTGACAAAAGAAAAAAAATCAACTGGACTTCATCAGAATTTAAAACTTGTGCTGCAATTGACAACATCAAGCAAGTGGAAAGCTAACCCACAGAATGGGAAACAATGTTTAAAAATCATATATTTACCGGAGATTTTGATTCAGAATATATAAAGAACTCTTAAACTTCAATAATACTAAAAACAACCCAAATAAAAAAGTTAGCAAGGCATATGAACAGACATTTGTCCAAAGAAGATGTAAAAATTGTCAACACAACATTATATAAATGCAATCTCGCACTTACTAGGATGGCTAGAATTAAAAAATACAGATTATAATGTGTTAGCAAGCATGTGGAAAACTGGAACACTTGTACATTGCTGAAGGGAATGTAAAGTGATACAGCCACATTGGAAAACAGTTTGGTCATTCTTCAAACCATTAAGCATGGAGTTATCACATGACCAAGAGAATTCCACTTCTGACTTCCACTTTCTAGAGAAATAAATAAAACACCTTCACACAAATACTATTACATGAATGTTCATAGCAGAATTATTCATAATAGCCAAAAAGTGGGAAGAGCCCCAAATGTCCACCAACTGATGAATGGATACACAAAATGAGACATATCCACCTTGATAGGAAATAAAAAGGAATGAAGTCCTGATACATGCATAAACCTTGAAAACATTATGCCAAACGAAAGAAGCCAGTTACAAAAGGTCAGATATTATATGAATTCTTTCATATAAATGTCCCAAAGAGGGCAGATCTACAGAGAAAGTAGATTAGTGGTTGCCTGTGGCTGGGTGTAGGTGTGGATATTAATTGATAATGAATTTCTTGTTGGCTGATGAAAATGTTCTAAAGTGAATTGTACATTTTAAATGGGTGGATGCTATGGTATATGAATTATAATTTATTAAACCTGTTTAAGTACTTTGAAGGCTAGAGATGATAAGAGGAACTCTGGGTTGAGAAACAAATAATAAAAAGAGCATGTAGCATTCCAGTGGTAATTTTGAATAATGATAATGAACTAAAATAATAAAATATATAATAATAATAAGTAAAAACAGGAAGGCCAGTGATTCCCTTGCTTATACTGAGTTATAGGCAGCACAGTATTTGATCATAGGCTAAAATGCAAAAGCTGATCACTGGAGAAAGTGAACTCTACCTGCCTAGAGTGGTGGAGGGGTTGAGAGGGAAA